AAAGGGGGGGGGGGGCCACGACTGATGCAGAGCCTCACCATCGATCAGGTTATCGCCTGGCTGAATGGGCATCGCTGCCCTGCGACTGCGGTGGAGTTGTGCCGTGAGTTGGCTTTGTGCGGGGAGATCCCACCCGGGAGGCTCGCATCACTCGAGCACGAAGCCGTGGCGGCAAGTGACGCCGATGGGAGCAACACAGACGCCGCTCTGGAGCAGACAGTAGTGGACGTGCTTGTGGCATACAAGAGACAGAAGGGCATAGCTGCTGTTGCAAGGGCTGCTGAAATGGCACTGGGTCAAATACCGCAAGCAGAAGGGCCGGTTGAGAAGGAACCGAGTGTTCCTGCCGTTTCTAATCAAGTGCTGCAGGGGAAGCCGCAGCAGGCGGAAGTTGAACTCAACAAAGTGCTTGCTGTGCTTGCGGAGCGTCTTCCGACCCTCGTGCGTGTCGTGGATCCAATGCAGAAGGATGTGTTGATACCACTCATCTGTGCCGCCGCTACGGCGAGCGTAAATAAGGCGGAGAGGGCAGCCGCTCGCCTTCTGCTTCTCACCCTCTACACGCGCCCAAACCGAGAGCACAGGGTCGCCGTCGCGGAGGCGTGGGCGAAGACGATGCAGCACGCCCCGGTCTCTGTCCGGCAGAACGATATCGTGCCAGAGCTGTTCAATCTGGCGAACGCAAAAACGACGGAGCGGCGCATTCTGGCCCTAAAGTGCATAGAGTATGTGGCACCCTTCCTAGGGGGTGGCACTGCGCTTCGGAAGTCGATATGTGAAGGTTTGTTGTGGCCACTTTGCGAGGATGAGTCGCGAACCGTGCGCTGCCACGTTGTGCAGAGTCTTGTGGGAATATGGCCGATAATCCCAGAGGACGTCAGCGGTGACGACAGCAGCAGCAACAGTGAGGATGTTAGTAGTGGTACTGAGGAGTGCCTGGCACTCTATATGGAGCTCATCATGCACCTTGTCTTGCACGACACGAGCAGCTCTGTGCAGCGTCACGCACTTCAGAGTCTGCGCGGTAGTCTTTTTTCAAAGCGTGTGCCCTGCCGCGTGCTGCTTGTGCGCATCGTCCCGCTGCTGCTGTCATTTATCGAGCGAGAGTTGGCGGCCACAGACTGCGGTGACTCCCTGGTGCAAGCCACACCGGCTCCTACTAATGTTGCAGCTGCTGCTGTGGTGGTGAAGAAGCGCGAGGTGGTTGAAGTGGCCGCAGCCAAAAACACATTATTACTCGCAAGTCTGATCGCCGACGCCCTCCGCTATGCGTGCCAAGTTGTCGCAGACGATGAAGGACTTGCCCCAACTGTCTTCGACGCATACCTGCACGTTGTGTTGCCCTCAGCACATACGCTAGTGCTCACGTGCCGTGAACACGACGCCTTGGACACGTCCATCTGCGCCGTCGCGTCGGCGTTGGCAATAATGGTCCCCGCACTGCAAATGCCGCACTGGAAGTGTGTGCGGTCCCTGTTGGAGATGTTCGTAGATGGGCGTGAGGTCCCTAGTGGTGCCGTTGACGTCCCGTGCGGTTCCGGCTGGCGCAGGCGGGAGCTGTGCTTCTTCTTCGCCTTCCTGACGTGCGTCGTTGGCGTGAAGTCAAATGCGGTAACGGACGCGACCGGCGTGCTAAGCGCCATCTCAGACGAAGCTGCGGCGCTGATGCGTGAAAACGTCACAGGACAGCGCACAGTGAAGGAGGAGGTGGAGGCAAAAATGACGAGAGTGGCGGAGTTTGCTCCAGCGGCAGATGTTGATGATGCAAGCTTACGTCTTGAGGCGTGTGCGTCGTCTCTCGCGTGCTTGATTACATGCGTTGAAGTTTCTCAAGGCAACGCGGCGGCCGTCTCAACGGTGCTGTGGTCCCTCACAGAGTCGGCGGACGAGCAACAACGCATGCTGGCCGTCGCGCTCATTGTGCGTCTCAGTGGGTTGCCGAAGGATGACCAGGTGCGGGCTCTGTACATGTGGCCGCCACTGCTCCTCCTCATGAACGACAGTGCGTACGCTGTGAAGGAGGCTGCAGTCAAGGCGGCCGTGACAATGGTCACATTTATCAGTACGCCACTGGAGCAGGAGAAGGTGCTCAAGGCGGCGCTCGCAACAGTGGAGGCAGCGGGGTGCCCATCTAGCTTAAGTGTGGCGCTCCTGCAGCATTGGTCCTCGCTTATGCGTGAGATGCCGGCGGAGCCACGCGAAAACTTTCTATACCCTCAGCTATCTATGATGATCGGCCAGTTGAGTGAGGCGCTGGATAGAAGAGAGGGAAAAAGCGGAACAACAATAGCGATGGTAGCAGGAGGAGGGCCTATCCCAGGTGCGGGTAGAAAAGCGACGGAGGACACACTGCAGGCCGTGTTGGCCATCCTCGCAGCTATTCCCCACTGCGCTGTTGTGACCCCGCAGCTCGTGAAGAAGTATCTCCTCCCCGGCATACAGCTACTGGCGTCCGTGCCGTCTCTGCCGCCATCAAGTCGCTCGCAGCTGCTGAGCATCGCAAAGGAGTATAACACATTGTTGGGGTCTAGTAAAGGGCTCCAGAGCACCTCCGGGCTCTTTGGACGAATGCGTGAGGAACTGAAGAAACGCTTCTGACGCATGTGGTGTGCCTTTCACTGCTTTGCGTGCGTGCGCCTTGTGGTGAGGAACGGTGTCGATTACACCGTAGCACCTGCAAAGGTTCTGTCAAGAGAAAACAAAAGAAAAAGGATAAGAACAAAAGCAAACCAAACAACAACAACAAAAAAAAAGAAGCTTGGCTTTACTTAGCCCTTTCTTGATTTCCTCATTCCCACCAGAAACCAATGGCTGTCTCATTGTGAAGTTGTCTTCTCTTCTCACTTTACTCATCGTTTTACGAGACGCCAACTGCACGTCAGGGAGGAACACAGCTGGTGGCGAGACTCACATCTATACACCCAGACCCTGCACGCAGGCACTGCCCCTACCGCCACTGTTTCACCATGTTCATCATCAGCTGGAATGTTGCGGGGTGGTCCTCCACGTCAAAGATGATACGTGAAGATTTTGGTAGCATTGCGGCCTTCCTGCAGCGCACGCAGGCGGACATTGTGTGCCTGCAGGAAGTAAAGGGGTCATGGGCGAAGTTGGACGCCGACCCGCGCGGCATGGGCGCCAGCGATGGTGGCCCGTTGGCAGTTGACGGGTGGGAGTCCTTCTGGTCCTTCAGCAGCAAGGCACATCGTGGCTTTAACGGTGTGGCGACATTTGTGCGAAAGGGCCTCACATGGTGGTGCGACTCGCGGCCGCTCCGAGATGAGGAGCTTAACGATGAAGGTCGCGTGGTTGTCACGTGTCACAGCCCATTTGTACTTGTCAACACGTACGTTGTCAACGCCCGCCGTGGGTTGCGGTTGGAATTCAAGATGCGCTTTCTCGCAGGACTCAAGGAACTCTTGCTCCGCCTGAAACAGGAGACCGGAAAGCCTGTCATTTTGCTTGGCGACTTGAATCAAACGTACCGTGCTGAGGACGCATGGTGGTCGCTGCGGCGACTAAGTATGCCCGCCGTGCTACAGCTTGTTCACCGTGCACAGCAGGAAGAGGAGTGGACGCAGAGCTTTCCGTGGCTTTCTGCCGCTGCTGTGCGGCATCTTGGGGTATTCATTGCGGAACAGGTGTCCCTGATTATTGCTACCGAAGCAGAAGATAACCATGAGGGTAGTGGCTTCAAAAGCATTAGCGTCGACAGTGCCTTCTTCGACTGCAGTAGTGAGGGTGGTGATGTCGTCGCGAAGAACAACAGTGACGGCGAGGCGGCTATCGTGGAGCTCACACGGCGTTTATGTGAGCGTACGAAGCTGCTGAAGGATGGGACTGGGACGCTGGCAACTCTGGAGGAGCTGTGTGAGGCCGGTGTTCGCAGCGTTTTTGTTGAACCGCTGATGCGCTCCCAACCCCCCGCACACAACCGTGAATTGTTCGCACTAACACGGATGTGTGGTTTGCCACCGCACAATGAGGAGAGTGCGCAGTTCTTTGTGAAGGAATTGCTCACGGAATTGCATCTCCACGATGCCTTTCTGCTGCGGCGTCCTGTTGCAGGGGAAGACGGTGATGAGATGTCTGCTGTTGTGTGCCCGTGCCCGTACACATGCTGGGATCAGTCGAGGAATAAGCGGCTGACGAATGAAGGTACCCGAATCGATTACATCCTGATCGATGAGACCCTCGTACCTGCGCTGGTGCCGTGCCGCAGAACGGCGAACAATGTCGGTGTTTCTGCTGTTGGTGCCACATCGGATCATGATTATACTGATGGTGATGCTGGCTGTATGCATCAGTCGTATTTCGACGACTATGATGGCCGCTCAGTGTCAGTTGGTGCACGTCGTGCGATGGGGGACGGAGCGTACCCGGCAGCACCGTTTGACGGCTCCGGTCTGCCGCCGCTGAGCGTCGCGGCGAGGGACGTGCAGTTTCGTGNGGCAGCACCGTTTGACGGCTCCGGTCTGCCGCCGCTGAGCGTCGCGGCGAGGGACGTGCAGTTTCGTGGGTTGCCGTCCACCGGTATGTTCGTCACACCGCCACAGTATAGCGACCACTGCGGCATCTGCGCCTACTTCGACGGCCTCATTCTGGAGCCACGGCGGGGGAAATTGGAGGAGCGGCACCGCTGCCAATATCGCCCGCCTGTGAGCCTGGATGCATTCTTCGCAAAGCGTACGCGGGACAATGCAGCAACAACAACAGCGGCGATTAGGACAGAAGCGCCAAAAAAAGAGAAAATTTCTCAGGCGCGGCGTCTAGAGGTGAAGCCACAAGAAGCAGTGGTTGTGATTGATGATAATGATGATGATTGCAACAGCTGCTGACATATATATATATATATATATATATGATTTTTTGCGGTGGTGCTGGAGACTATCGTTTCTACTAAGTGGCCTGCCTTTTACCCTTCATTTTTGTTCCTATCCTCATTTGCGTGTATGTCTCTCAGTGTGGATGCGGTATGCTGTGCGTGGTGTCCCATGTGCTCTTCCTGTCTACTTTCATTCACCCCCTCCCTCGTCATTTTGTCACATGTGAAGTGCACGTGTGGCTTTAGTCCTCTTTTCTTAAGTTTTTTGGCGCTTCGCTTTGCACTCCGCTCCCCCTCCCCCACCCCCGTTGGAGACCCCGAACGACACAAAAGCGAAGATACCGCGGAGAGAGAAAGCAGAGGCGAGAACATATATAGATGAGTCGTGCAGTCTTCGCGGAGAAGGCGACGCTGGCGTCGGAGCGGGCGAAGGAGTTCATCAACAGCGGCGGCAGCATGATCTCACGTGCCCGCTCCCTCGTCTCCGGCGATGCACAATTCTTCTCCGTGCAGCCCAAGGTGGAGGACCTGCGCCGTCACCTCGACTCCGACTCTCTGCACGAGAAGCGCGACGCGATGAAGCGCATCATTGCGCAGATGTGCAAAGGGAACGACATGTCGAACCTCTTCGCGGATGTGGTGAAGAACATCCACACCACGTCGATTGAACTGCGTAAGCTCATCTACTTCTACGTCACGCACTACGCGGAGGATAGACCTAATGAGGCCCTCCTCTCCATCTCCGCATTTCAGAAGGACCTGCTGAACCCGAGCATGCATGTGCGTTCGCTCTCGCTGCGAATGCTCAGCGCGATACGCATCCCTGCGATTCATCCGCTCGTGATGCTCGCCGTAAAGAAGTGTGCCACCGACGTAGACCCGCTGGTGCGAAAAACGGCTGCTATTTCCCTCGCCCAAATGCACGTCATCAGTGGAAGCGAAGAGGACACCGTGACGATGCAGGAACTCCTGCAGCAACTCTTGGCGGATAAGAGTATGGATGTTGCCTCAGCGGCCGCTCTCTCCTTTATCGAGATATGCCCAGATGAGACGCAGTTCATCCATCGCGTCTACCGCGACCTCTGCCGCTCGCTTATCGACTGTGAGGAGTGGGGGCAAGTGGTGCTTTTGCATGTCCTCCTCCGCTACGCGCGGACGCAGTTCTGCGACCCCAACAAACCTCGGTCATCAAATTCCACCAACAATAGCAATGAGGATGCTGGCACAAAGACCGAGAACAGCAATGATGATGATGATGACGATGATGATGATGATGATGATGATGATAGCAGCTCGTCTTCATCGTCCTCCACTAGGTCCTCTTCAAGGTCTGATGTCCGCAGAAGCACACGTCGCCAGGATGGAGACGTGCTGCTAGACTCCGATCACCAACTGCTCCTTGACTCAGTCAAGCCACTCTTCTTAAGCCTCAATAGCGCCGTTGTGGTGGCTGCCACGTCCTTGTTTTACCACTGCGCGCCGGCGACAGAGTTGGATGTGTGTGTGCGTCCGTTGTTGCGCCTGCTCAGGGGCCCGGACGAGCATCATGCCATTGTCCTCAGCGCCATCTACACCGTTGTGCTATCGCGACCGGAGCCATTTGTGTCTTACATCAAGGAGTTCTTTCTCATGCCACACGATGTGAAGGACGTGCGGGAGCTGAAGGTGCGTATCGTATCCAAGTTGGCCACAGAAGACAACTTCACCGAACTTGTTCGTGAGTTCCGCTCGTACATCCGCAGCTTCCACGTGGATCGTGTCGTGGACGCAGTGCGTGGACTCGGACTCATTGCTGCGCGGTTGACGATGTGCGCTTCGCAGATCATGCGGCTGCTGGTGCCGCTTTTGTCCCACCGAAATGCCGAGGTGGTGACAGAGTCCATCACGGTGTTGCGTCTGCTCGTGGTGCAGGGGGCCAACAAGAACCGGACTTGTCAGCTGGTGTATCGCCTCCTTCAGCAGGTGATGAAGGGAGAGATTGTCGGCGCCTCCGCGAAGGCCAGCATACTTTGGCTTGTGGGAGAAAATATTCAGCAGCGCACCGCCATTGCCACTGCGGCACCGGAGTGTTTTCGTATCTTTGTTAAGAGCTTCACGCAGGAGAGCTCGGAGGTAAAGAAGCAGGTGCTGACGCTCGGCTGTAAGATTTGGCTCTTCCTCGACGGTAGTGGTGAGATGGCGGAGCGCTTCCGCAAGCTCTTCTTCTACGTGCTCGAGCTTGCCCACTTTGACGACGACTACGACGTGCGGGACCGCGGCCGCCTCATCCAGTGCACAGTGGAGCGGCAGAGCAGCACCTTTGCTGCGCTGAAGGCGATGCTGCTGAGCGAGAAGCCGCTGCCGCAGTCGAGCGACCCCTACGTGGAGCGGGCGCACTACGAACTTGGCACCATGTCGCACCTCTTCGGCAACACACTCTTCGGTTACCGCGAGCTGCCGATGTGGGCAACGCAGCCGTCGGACCCGCTGCTTCGGGGTGGGCACGACGAAGATGAAGATGACAAGAGCTCGCTGCTTGGCTCCAGCAGCGACGCGTCATCTACGCTGTACAGCAGCGAGGGTGACAGCAGGAGCTGTAGCTCGGACAGTGACACAGGAGCCTCTTCGCGGTCTGCGTCCTCTGCGCCTTCGTCGAGTGGCAGTGAGAACGAGGATGATGATGATGATGATGATGATGACGACGACAACGCCCCTCCACGGCCACTAGTGGGGGTGGTGGCGAAACGCGTGCCTGTCAGAGTCGTGGTGCGTCGTACCGATCCTGCGACGGCAACTGCTCCCGCGTCAGCGACGACGAATGAAACGGGTGCGGCGCCCGCTGACATCACTGACATGGAGGAACATGAAACACCGCATGAGTCGTGCAACGAGAAGACGAAGCTGCAGGAGGTCGATGCACTTGCTACTCCGCCCGATACGGCTCCTGTAGAAGTTGAGGCGTCGGGTCCCTCGCCATCGGCCGAACCGACAGAGACACAGCAGTAAAGAAGTTCGTGCGTGGAGCAGTGATAGCGTTCTGCGCATCATTATCAAATATTATTGTTTTCTGTTATTGTTGGTATTTGGGGTTTCTGCTGGGGCCCGCACATTGTTTGCTGTGGCGATTGTGGAATGGAGGCGTACCGCGAAGATGAGGAGGAGAAGTGGGGGCGGTGGGACGTAGAGGGATCTGGTGTGTGCGTTCGTGCGTGTGTGTTGGTGTGGCCCCCACACCTATTTAACCGTCGTTTTATGTTCCGCTGTGGGTCCCCTCACAGTCAGCAGATGGGCAGACTCTTTATGCCCGCGCCATTGTGCTGCCACTCATTCTTTTTTGTTGTTGTTGTTGTTGTTCCTCTTTCTCCTCTTGTTGCTGCTCCCCAACCCCAACCCCCCTCGTCCCACCTCACCGCCCGCCCGGGACCGCGCAAAGAGGTTGAAGCGCGCAAAGGAGGAGGCTGCGGGCAGCCACACTTCTTCAAGCACCCCAACACACACGCGGCTAACTGCAAGTGTCAGTGCACACATTTAACAAGGAAAACCAAGAAAGAAAGGAAAAAAAAAGAAAACAGGAAGGGCACACACATTCACACAAAAGCAACAACAAAGAAAGAAACATCAACAGGACAAACAAAACAACAACAAAAAAACAAAGAACGATACAGGGAACAATAATTATCAACACAAACGATCAACGTTTGGGTTTTTGAGTCGAACAACGAGGGGCGATCGAAAGAGAGAGAGAGAGAAACAACGAGAAAGGAATCAAGAACCGGGCGGACACTAAACGAGACCCGACAGGACACAAACAAGGTAGGGCAGTCATCATTCCTACAACTGCAACTACATCACAAACAGGCGAGGACCCCACTGATAGGCAGAGAGAGAGAGGGAGGGAGAGAGACGCACAGACGCGCTTGGTACCCTTCTGTCCAGCCATATATATATATATATATATATATATACATATATATATACTTGCACTCATTCACACATATCGCGTACTCTCCGGAGGACACTTAGGTTGCCTAGTTTGAAAGCCCACCACCAAGTTCCTGGTCGCGGCGTATTCATCTGTATCGGTTGCACACTCCAACGCAGAGGGAGGGCACACCATCATCAGCGGCAGCAGCAGCAGCAGCAACGGCATCGACAAGAGGAAGAAGAAGAACAACAACAACAACAGATAAGATGGACCCGTATCACTCCGACGAGGAGGACATGCTGGCCATCAAGGGGGAGATGTGGATGTGCGCCGACAGCGATAAACCGTACAAGGTGGGCGCTGGTAGGGGCTCGAAGAACTACATTGGAATCGAGAATGATCGCTTTTTTGTCTACTCAACACGCAGCACGCAGT